GGGGAAAAATATACATTTAATGAAATAGAATATTTCCAAGTATTCCTGATGAAAAGACCACAGCTGTATAGAAATTTTGACATTCAAACACAGGAGTTTAAGAGAAAAATAAATAGGTAAACATGAATGAACAATGATAAGGGACTAAGCAAGGATAAATTGCTTATATTCAAATATAGAGAAATGATACACATGTCCCCTATCAACATTATCACCATCAGAGGTTACAGAGGGAATCTAATTAAACAACAAATAGAGCTATCCAACACCTACTGTACTGGTACTGTGTTAGAGACCTAAGGGAAAGCAATTTAGATCAGTGGGGCCACTAAATCCCACATAAGGATCCCTGAGGGTCAGATACTGATTTTATCTAACTTATATTTTATTTTTATATATTTTGTTAGATGTTTATATAGTTTAATCTGGTTCCACTCCCAAATGTTACATTTGACTTGTCTGGTTTAGATGACAAAGTTCCTGCCCTCACATATCTTAGAAGTAAAGAATTATAGATTTAGAGCTAGAAGAACTTTAGAGATTATCTAGTTCAGGGGTTCTTAATTTGGGGTCCAAGGACCCAAAACGTATGTAGATAGATTTCAGAAGGCCTTTAAATTTGGATGGAGGAAAATAATATCCATTTTTATTAACCTTTGGCTCCTTTATAATTCTGTATATTTTACTTTATGCAGTTAAAAACATTATTATAAGAGGACCATAGGTTTCATTAGACTGCCAAAGCAGTTCATGACCCAGAAAAGGTTTAAGAACCTCTTAGCTAGTCTAGCCTTTCATTTTACAAATGAGGGAAATGAGCCCCAGAAAGTCTGAGTGACTTTCCCAAGGCCACAGTTAGTCAGGACTTGAACCCAGATCCTCTAACTACAAATTCAGAATTATTTCCACTGTACCATACTGCCTCTTGTTCTAGTAGGGAGAATTCAACTTTTTCTATTAACTCAAGAACTTGTAATTTTGTTGAAATGGGTACTCCCTCTCCCTATGCACAGCATAACTGCTCTATGGTTCAGCAGATGGTCTTTAGGGGCTGGCATGTTCTCGAAATTCATCATCACCTTGTGGCCAACTTGGTTTGGGTTTGGCTACCCAAACTAGTTTTGGAAAAAAAGATACAGGATCTTATTACCAGCCCTTTCCAGTTTAGTAGAACCTGCTGGAGTTTTCATTTGGCTGGCACAATCTCCAGAAACTCAGAGTCACCTCTGCACCACCCACAATGAGGAACACAGGGCTCCAGTAAGGACTGGGGAAGGGTTCAACATAGATACAAACAACCGTAATGCAAAACGATACATGATATATTCTAAATATATAAGAGGTACAAAACAAGTGCTACAGGAAGTCTGGGGAAGAAAGTTTCATTACTAAATGAAGCAATCAGGAATGTCATCATGAAGGTGACATTTGAGGTGGGCCTTTTAAAGGCAAGTAGTCTAGTTGGTCTACAGCAGAAAGTACAAAAAAAAAGATAAGGTTGGAACAAATCAATGAGCATTTCTAAGTATAAAGTAGAATAGAAAAAGGATTATGCATGAAACTGCATATCTCTATTGTGTATAACTTGTTTTTCCTTTTAAGTATACCATAAATTGAACATGTAACTTTCAAAGTTGTCCTGCTTGTTTGTGTTTCCTTCTGGCCTTCCTTCTGTTCTCTTCTGTGCATTTTCTAAAATGCCTCAATGACCCTCTTTTCATTTTGGCCACTCTACTGATATCCTCTTTTTCCCTAGGACACTCCCCTCTGGCAACAGAAAAAGAAAAGAAAAATTATAATAAATATACATAGTCAAGCAAAAGAAATTCCCACATTGGCCTCATCTAAAAATTTGTTTTTCTGTACCTGGAATCCATCCCTCTTTGTCAGAGGTGCGTAGCACATGTCACCATTCAACCTGTGGAATCATGTCATTGCATTGCATTGATCAAAATTCTTGTCATTCAAAACTGTTGGAATAGTAGCCTTACCTTGACAGGCTTCATTCATTTAGTAGGAAACCACCGAAGTCTGGCAGTGGGGATTAAAGGGGAGAAAGTAGAGGCAGCAAGACTAATTAGGAAGCTACTTTAATAGTGTAGATGAATGGTAATGAGAGTGGTGACCATGGTAATACAGAAAGGGGCACAGTTGAGATTTTGCAAAAGTACAACAGATAAAATCTGGTAACAATGGTTTCAACCATAGATCAGTAGGTGAATGGCATTACTACTGGAAGAAACAGTAAAATCAAAATAAAGGAAAGCAATATTGACAAATACTAGAACTCTAATCAATGCAATGACTCTTCAGGATTCCAGGAGACTGACAATGAAATTTGCCTCCTTCTCCTCTTGGCAGAGAGGTAGAGGACTACAGGTACAGAATGAGACATACCAAGGCAGACAGGAATAACGTGATTTATTTTATTTAACTGTTCCTGGAGAGAATTCTGTTGGAGTAGGGGTAGAGAAAGAGGAATAGACTTTGGGGAAGCCATGATGTAGTGGATAGAGTGCTGGACTTGGAGTCTGAAAGACCTGTATTCAATTCCCAACTCAGACACTAGTTAAACGACCTAGGTCAAGTCACGTAACTTGGATGGGCTTCAGTTTTGAGTCATTGAGAACTGACATGTGAGTTTAAAAAGGATCAATACAATTTTTTTTAAAGGAAAAATACCAAAGTCATAAGGAGGAAAAGATTCAGAGGATTAAGTCTTGGACGTATTGAGTTTGAGGTGCCAGTTATTTAGATGGCATTGTAGGTGTGGAACTTGGGAGAACATCCTACTGCCTCCATAACCTTCCCAATCCATCACCATGATATCATTTCTCTGTTCAAAAACCTTCATTTGTTCTCCATCATTTCCCAAAGAGTCAAATATTCTTGATCCTGATACTTAAGGCCTTCCACAATCTTGCTATAACCTACTTATCTTCCCTTACCTTATACAACTGTCCTTCACTTTATACATCCACCAAACTGTAATACTTTGTCTCTACCTAGCTCTCATTCTGCCCTATTCCATCTCTGTAAGTTTGTATATTGTCTCCCATGAATGCAATTAAATCATCCTATCTAAATCCACAACCCACTGAAGCTCTCACTTCCTATGAGGCCTAACTTAGAACTCACTTCCTCCAGTTATGACCTTCCACCAACCTAGATTTCTTCCTCTTCAAATAATCCAAAGTACTTTGCCTGGATCTTTCCTGTGAACTTATTCTATTATTCCTTGTATCAGTTATCTCTACCCATTATGAGCAGCTTCCTAAGCTCTCAGAGAGCAGGCACTATATTATATATGAGATGTCATGGTATAGTGGAAAGAGTGCTGAAATATTGAAGTTAGAGGACCTGTGTTCCAAAGTTCTTAAGTTCTATAGGTTCCAATTTCCTCAACTCTAAAATGAGGGAGATGACTAGACAGCTTAAGTCCCATTAGAGCTCTAAATCTGTGATCCCCATTACCATGTAAAGGGTAAGCAATTAAGGGGAAAAATGTATGGGGGGGGCAGGGCTCTAGGGAAGACAGAGATGTTGGATAGCTATTTATTGGAATTGAAGTATAAGGGATGATTTGGGCCATCAAAGCACTTAAAAGTTTAGTAAGCAAGGCAATTGGGTATCTGTCTAGTTTTTATAGATCAGATAAATTGTGTTTTCTTAAAGAAAAGAGATGGCTCTGTATCAAGAATCAAAAGATTTGATTTGAATCCAAAAGATTTGGATTTCTAGAGTCAGAAAAGGAAGGAGATAAATAAGGAGATAGTATGGTATACTGGATAGAACCCTTGGCTCGAGAATTTACTTACTACCTGTATGACCCTAGGCAAGTAATTTCCTCTCTCTGGGTCTGCTGTCTTACTCTTAAAAATTAAGAGGTGGGTCTAGGTCAGGGGTCTTTTTGTGTCACGGATGCCTTTGGCAGTCTGGTGAAGCCCTTCCTCAGAATAACGTGTTTTTTTTTTTAAGTAACAGAGGGAAACGATAACTTTTGTAGAGGGGTTAGTGAAAATAAAAATGTCAATTCTCCAGCCCGGTTTCGTGGACCCCTTGTCATGTCCTTTCCAGTTCGAATTCCTCTAACTCTAAGCAGAGAAGCAGTGAGAGAGGCGGGAGCAGAACCAGGGCGAGGGGGACGGCTCGGCCGGGCTGCAGCCAGCTCTCCTCCTACAGGCAGGTCCCCTTCAAAGGCCTGTGGTCCCGGCCCCGCCTCGCGGCCCTTGGCACGAGCTGGGGACCAGCAACATCAGGCTCGAGGAGAAAAGAGTCCCGAGAGACGGAGCCCGCCGGCCGCCCGACCGCCGGACACTTCGAGGCCCCATGCAAGCAGTCCAGGGCATCGCGGGGACCACGTGTGCGCAGGTAGCGCCTCAGCTTCCAAACCCCTCTCCTTCCCTCTCCTTCCAAACTTCCCAAGGCAGGAATCACACGGACCACACGCTCACCGGAAGTTACCTCACGGACACTTCCTTCAGTACGGGGTGGGGGTTGGGGGAGGAGGCGGTGACGACTAGGGAGACGCGGTCCAGTTAGAATCCAACACGAGGGGTTTCCTGAGCGCACGCGCCACCCAGTACTTCAACTGGGTCTCTCCCTTACCTCACCCTCCCCATTGCCACGTTCTACAAGGAAACGGTAAAGGGCGCGTGCGCCTACTAGCCAATCAAACCCTTCAATATCCGGGTTTCCCCAAACGTGACAGCCAATCAAAAAAGGGAAGGTGCCGGTGAGAACTACCAGTCAGAAGTAGGGAAAGAGAAAGTTCTCTCTTTAAGCCAATAAGAAATGTGGGCAGGACGTGAGCGTGATTGCTTTTAACCAATTATAAGCGGAAGAGGGAGAGTTCCATTTTGCAGCCATTCAGAGGCTGATCATAGGCCTAACTTAGCAACCAATCTGAGGGGAAAAATGGCAGGTGCCCGAGTCAGCTTGCCAATCGGTACAGGGTGAGGGGCGGAGCAAGCGCGCGCGCGGAAGCCAGTGAGAAGTGGGAGGTAGCCGGGCGCGCACTCCAGGGGACGAGATCTATAAAGGCAAGGCCCCAAGACGAAACGCGCGCTTCAGCCCTTTTCTCTGTCCCGGGGAGGTAACCGTAGCAGCGCTAGCCCTACCGTCCCCTTCGTGCCCGCCCCTTCCGCGTGCCTCCGGCCTACCGCCGCTCGCCGGGCCCGAAGAGAGACATGCTGAGCCGTGTCCTGCTCTGCCTAGCCCTGGCCGTCACGGCCGGGGTCCGCGCTGACGCCCCTGAGGAGGAGGACGACGTCCTGGTCCTGAAGAAGAGCAACTTCGAGGAGGCGCTGGCGACCTACGAGTATCTCCTGGTGGAGTTTTGTGAGTGCCGACACCCCGGTCCTGTCCTGCCCTGCCGGCCTCGGCCCCCCGAAAAGCGAGCGGCTGTCGGGGAGCCGGCAGGCCGAGGGCGCGCGGGTGACCCAGGGGCCTCGGCGGCTGAGCCGCGTTTCCTCACCTCGGGGTGGGCGGGGGCGGGTGGGTAGGTAGGTGTTCACATCAGTTGAGATCAGCAGGAGTGGGGGACCCAGGGCTCCCGGCGAACGAGGGCGCCTTGGCCTCAGTGGACGTCGTGCCTTCTGTTCCCTTCCCCTTCTTTAGCTTGAGCTGGAAGGGTCCGCAGGATGAACCCTCCCGGCTGGGTCCCCGGAGTGACACCGTCCTGCCCAAGCTCTTTGTTTCGGGGTGGAGGGGAGAGGGATATCCCTGTAGAACCCCCGAAGTTTCAAGTTTATATGAGATCTTGGGGGTTCACAGGTCCTTTATTTGTAGTTCAGGCCACCTCCGAGGGAATAGGAAAAGTCTCACAAAAGCTACCTTTTTTTTTCTTGGATGAAAAGAAGTATTGATCCTCCCTTAAGGGGTACTTAAACTTAAGCCTTCTTTTCTGTCCGTTACACTTTATTTTTGAGGCCTAGGTTGTTACATTCAATAACTTCTAAGGTTGACTGATGAGCCTAGTTAGGTGTCTTTCTGCATGAAGTCCACATGGCAAACTTTCTCGGAAAGTATGAAAAGAAGCGAATCGGCTTGTTTAGGCAAAAGCAAATACAAAAGAATCGTTCCATGGCTTAATGTTCCAGTGTCACCTGGATGCTTCTGCCCCTGGTAATTTATGATATCTGTCTTAATAGGAGTGAAAAGCAGAAGCTGAAACTTAGTTTGTGTTGTCATGTGAGCTTTTAGTAATCTCTTCAGCGGTAATAGTTGCTAACCTGTGATACAAAACAGCGAAACAAAGTGTGAGAGTAATAAACTTGAATAGTATGCCACATTTACAGTTTCAAGATAATTGTTTCCTTTGGGTGCAACATAGAACCAATGAGGAACTTTGAAAAAAAGAATAGGAATCAAAGAAATATGATAGGAAAAGAAGATGGGCTGGTCACTAGGTGTACATTCAAAGGTCTTAACTGGTGCCCCCATAATGTCAGGGGAAGTCCTCTGCCATATTGAGTAGACCGCCTGTGGTGAATTTATGGGAAAACATGGACAAGAGTTTCACAGAATGTAACAGGCATGGATGAGTTGGGATCACAGAGGAAACTCAAGTATCGTGGATCATTTGAGCTTTACTGGGTAGATGACTAAAGTGTTGATGGCCCTGAATTTAAGGGGATGGCAGTGATTCCAGATACAAATTTTTTCTAATCATCTGTTGATGATTAAGGTTCAATTTTTGCCTCCGGCACATACTGACCCAGACCTGGGCAGATAGCTTTCAGGACCTGGGAACCTTTGACTTCAGGCCACATGTGGCCCTCTAGAGCCTCCAGTGCAGCCCTTTGAATCCAAACTTTTCAGGGATTCAAAGGGCTGCACTTGAGGCCCTACAGGGCCACACGTTACCCACCCCTTGCTTAACCTCCTAAGTCTCAAAGACAATAAGTTGCAGATACAGAAGTGCACTGATAGAAGTTTCTCAGTCATAGGGATGTGTGTGTTTGGAGCGGGGGAGGGGGGGGGGGACTCCTGTCACACTGATGAAACCACAGGTTTCATCATTTCATCATAACCATTACCAAGCTTGGTAATGGTTATTAGTTAGGGTTTAAAAAGCCACCAGGAGCATTCAGTAACAATGTAGATTGGGTATTTATGGTTTTCATCTGATGGGAATAGCTTATGTCCTTATACTGCTGAAAGGCTCCAAGAACTCATTTACCAGTGTGTTAAATGGTTATTTCTATTAAGTTTCTGTGAAGATAAATCTTATGAGAGGTTAGGGGAGCTGTCAAAAGAAATAGAACTAGATCAGGTGCTCCTGCTTAATGCTTTATTTTTCTTTTCAGACGCTCCTTGGTGTGGTCACTGTAAAGCTCTAGCACCTGAGTATGCTAAGGCAGCTGGAAAATTGAAGGCTGAAGGTTCTAAAATCAGATTGGCCAAAGTAGATGCCACTGAAGAGTCTGATCTAGCACAGCAGTATGGGGTTCGGGGGTACCCCACTATCAAATTCTTTAAGAATGGAGATACAGCTTCACCTAAAGAGTATACAGGTAGGTCCTCTTCCTAGGAAGTAATCAAGTTCTTTTAGGTAGGGGTAGATATGCAAGAGAAAAAAACAAAACAATATAATGCCTTAGATTTGTTTGCTACTGGATTAACTTTTCAAAGTATTTTATGTGTTTAATTTTGTCCTTCTAGCAACTTGGTGAGGTTAAGTAGGGCAGGAATAATACCGTATCCATATATATTAGCCACTGCTGAGAAGTTCAAAGTACTTCATAGCTATGATCTTTACTGTAGTCCTGTGAGGATAAGATCAAGGTAGATATTAGCCCCACTTTACAGCTAGGAAAAGTCTCAAGTCAAGAGGTTGACTTGCCCAAAGCTCCAAGGTGATTTGGTGATAGGAACTGCAAGTTACTTTTGGGCCAGGCCTAGGCTTTTGTTGATCTTTATATCCTTTCTCCTCCTCTCCTACTTGGGAAATTCATTGTTATAACGAATGAACCTTTCCAGACATCAAAGTAAATCTGAACTTTTTTGGGGGTGGGGTATACAGCTGGCAGAGAAGCTGAAGATATTGTGAACTGGCTGAAGAAACGCACCAGTCCAGCTGTCACTGTGCTGACAGACATTGCTGCTGCTGAGTCCTTGGTGGATTCCAGTGAAGTTGCTGTTATTGGCTTATTCAAGGTAGATCTTTTAGAACTTAATTTCAGATTCTTTTGCTTTTCTATGTCATCTCTTGCACAATTGGAGCAAGTGATTGCATCTCATTCTGTTGTCCAGGGCACTGGCATATGCTAAGTAAGGAACCTTCACCGTAGATGGGCCACGGGGTCTGATGTTTCCATTGTTTACAGGTACATACTGACTATGTAAGTAAGTCAGTAACCCTTCTCTTTCGATCTTTCTCTCCTAGAATCTAGAGTCAGAACTTGTCAAACAGTTCACGTTGGCTGCAGAGTCTATCGATGATATCCCATTTGGAATCTCTTCCAATACTGATTTGTACTCCAAATACCAATTTGATAAAGATGGCATTATCCTTTTTAAGAAGGTGAGTTATTTGGCTTGTTGAACTCTAAAGTGAAACTCAATTCAGCTTTTGTCTGCAAAGAATAATAATACTTTTGAGCACCTTGCCCTATGAGGCTCTGGAACATAGTGGACCTGAGATTCTACATCTTGATCAGATCAAGGGGGGATTTGTGTTAAATGAGACTTTTAAGGTAAAGGTTTTGTGTAATGAAGTCATTTTGGTAGTTAATTGGAGTAGAATTATTTTTTTAAAACTTTTTTTTTTAAGGCAATTGGGGTTAAGTGACTTGCCCAGGGTCACACAGCTAGTAAGTGTCAAGTGTTTGGTCTGAGGTCTAATTTGAACTCGGGTCCTCCTGACTTCAGGGTAGGTGCTCTACCCACTGTACCACCTATCTGGCCCCTAAAACCATTTTAAAGGGACAGTCTGGTCTTTTAAACCAGCTTAATCATTGGACCCTAATGTTTCTTTTAGCTTCTTACTGTTTCCCACTTGAAAATTGGAATATTCAGAAGCTGACTTCCTACAAACTTACCTAGGAGAAAAGTTTCTGTTTGTATACCATAATGTACTGTGGGAAAATTCAATTTTTTTTTCCTTTAAAAAAATCTGATAGCAAATGGTAGTTGGTAGATAAACCATTTGGAAATACTTAAACCAGAGTACCAAAGGAGAAAAAAATATAGACAGTTCTCACTTTAAGTAAATTTGCATCATGCAAATTTGATGTTAGTAAAGAATTCTGAAAGAACTCTGCATTCCAAAAAAAATCCTATATTTTATATAGTACTGTGCCATTTAAACCCCCCCCCCCAAAAAAAAAGCCAAAAGAAAAACCTCCAAGTGAAAGCAGAAGAAAGGATACCCAGAGACATGGCAACTCAAAGGCTTGGCTTGAGACCTCAGGAGCTAAGAGAGATGTTTGCCCTGATCAGATCATGTCTCTTAGCACTCCGAACTCCAGTATCACCAAGTGTCTGTCCCCATGATGGGCTTGACAAGACTGTCCTCTCCTGTCTGTGTCCAGCCCCCATTTGTCTGCCCCTTCTGCATGTTCTTTTTCTATGTTTGGTCAGGCAGGCCCCTATGTGCCTGGCCCTGGCCATATATTCCTTCTACTCTTGCTTCTCTGTCCTGTCTCAGTGTGTTCTTGAGGCTCCCATGTGTCCTTGAACCATGTGCCAGGTGCTCTCCCTCCACAGGTGTGGTCCTCTTTCTGTCTCCCTCCTTCACTCCTTCCTTTCCCCATGTCCTAAGCAAATTGAAATTACATAAAAAAAAAAAATCACTTTTAGACGTCTGCAGAATGATCCACTTAGGTAAAGCAATAACTTTTTGTAGTACTATATTAGAAATAGAAAGATTTATTTGAGTGAGTTTCAAAAGAACTAAGTTCTTTGAAGTATCTGTTTTGGAGAGCTTTCTGCACTGAGCAAGTTGGAGTGAAAAGTACTGAAGTTAGAACATAAGTTGGCTGAAAAGGATAAGCAGTTTGAAAGTAGATATAATGATTCTTTAAGGAAAAGGGAAGGTGCTTGTGTGGTTTGAGAAAGAAAAGTTTTGGTTGGCAACTAGAATCTAGATCTAGGGATTTTTTTTAAAAGTAGTATAATAAAGGCTAAATGAAATGGAATAGTTTTTCATATTCTAGATTGAGCATATACAAAATAGATTGACACATACTCTTCAATAGAATTTTGTAGCATAAAAGAGTGAAAGGGATGGTCCTTCATAAAAGAGTACCATAGAAGCTATTTACAATAAGAATGAATTGTTTGTGATTTGGGGACAATTTGCTTTAGTAATCCTACTATAATTTCCTATTTCTGTTAGACCTCTTCCTAAGGAATTCTGATGTTAATTCAGGGACAAATGGGCAAGGCTCATGGCTTTCCTAGGGGGCATTGTTTATTAGAGCTACTGATTGTTGGGAGAAAAGTGTTTTGGAATCATTTAAATGGAATTTAAATACTTAGGTCTAAGAGATATACTAAATACCTATTAAGCAATTTGGACTTCAGTGATATTAAGTCTCCCCTTATGGATGGAGTGAGGAATATATTGCAAGGAGAGACCAGTATGATTCAATGATATTTTAAAAAATATTTTGGAGGTTAAAAGATTTTTCTAAAATCTGTTTGAACAAACTATTGAAAAAGTGTGTCCTATCATTACAGGTATAAAGGGAACATCAAGAATTATAATTTCTTCAGAAAAGTCTAGTGCACATCTCCTTACTTATCTGACTCATTTATTTTGGCATCTACTCATTAACTTAGATTTTCTAACTGTTTGATGTTTGCAAATCTCCCTAAGGAGATTGTAAGCTTTTAAGGCAGAGACTATTTCTTGATGCTCTTTTCCATCTGAGCCTAACAGTTTTAAGAGCGCAATAGGCTCTTGATAAATATTGTTGAATTTAATTCTGAGACTGACCATTCTTCTGTTTTGGGCATGAGGTTAATTAGTAAAAACTGCTTTCAATTCATGTTAGCAGATGTCTGAATTACAGATAGCTGGCTTTGTTCATGAACCATGAAACAAACAACATTGCCTTCTGGCAGCCTTTTTCTGAAGGATCTGGGCCATAAACTACTCCTGTGAACTTTGTCTGCTTAATTAACTAAGATAACTTGGGGGCAATAGGAATACAGACCTAAGGTCAAATTTTCTTCATGTAGGAAAGAAGTTTAAAATTTTGAGGGACATATAGCTAAATTACTGTTTCTTATTTTCTCCCACAGCAAATATTTCTCTCTCTCTCTCTCTTTTTTTTTTTTTGGCTAGGCAGTGGGGTTGAGTGACTTGCCCAGGGTCACACAGCTAGTAAGTGTTATGTGTGTGAGGCCGGATTTGAACTCGGGTCCTCCTGATTCCAGGGCCGGTGCTCTATCCACTGTGCCACCTAGCTGCCCCCACAGCAAGTATTTCTCTACCAGTGTAATCGAATTTCAGATCCTACTTTGTTAAAGGGTGCTAAAAATGCTAAGATGAAATAATAATAGCTAGCATTTATGTAGTGCTTTAACATTTGCAAGCACTTCTGTTGTTTGTGATCTATTCTTTTTTATACCTGCATATACACTACTGTTCCTCTTATTCTGTGTTAGCCCCTTACTCTTTTAGTCTGTTCTGGCTTCCTTGCCTGTTTAGCTTAGGGAATCTAGTGCGTAAGGACTTCAGTTGACACACTTTCATCCTGCTAGTCCCCAGATATGATTAGCCATTTTCATCATGAAATAAAACAATGCTATAATTTTTTTAAAAAAGGCTTTATTGATGCTTATTGTTATATAACTGCTATTTCCCAGTACCATACCTTTCTCCCATTAGAGTCATCTCTTGTAACAGAATTACAGTTAAGCAAACCACCAACACAGCCCAGCTGCATGGGCCTTGTTCCATATTTGTAATTGATCACTTTTCATTTGAGAGAAAGGTGCTGTGTTTCATCATCATTCCTTTGGAGTCAGGATTGGTCTTTGCATTGATGGGAATTTTTTTGCTATTTGGTGTGTTTTTCTCCTTTTATGTTATTTATTTTATATATTATGTATTTTTGCCTTTTGGCCCTAGGCTATGGGGTTAAGTGACTTGCCCAGGGTCACACAGCTAGTAAGTGTCTGAGAGTGGATTTGAATTCAGATGCTCCTGACTCTAGGGGCTAGTGCTCTATCCATTGCGCCACCTAGCTGCCCCCCCTTTATGTTATTGCATTATTTCTTTTGTGTTATTATAATTATTACATATTGTTCTGCTTCAATTCATGTATTCATTCCAAAGTTTTCTGAATTCTTTCTGTTCATCATAATATTCCATTGCATTCATATTCTACAGTTCTTTCAGCCATTCCCCAATTGGACATAAACACTTGTTTACATTTTCTTGCTACCACAAAAAGTATTGCTAGAGATATTTTGGTAATGGGGACAGGAAGAATCTTTCCTTGATCTATTTAGTGTAAATGCCCTTAGTGCTATTGCTGGGCCAAAGGGTATGAAGCTTAGTTACTTTTCTAGAATAGTACTAAATTAGTTTTCCAGAATGGTTAGCCAAATTCCTGGCTCCATCAACATTGTATTTGTCAATGTTGGAGACACTAAAGACAAATGTAATAGTTTCATCTTTTATTATATTTGCCATGTTGATGAAACTACACTAACAATTCATAATAACTTTAGGTGGGCCTGCAAAGCTGCTTGGAATCAAATCTTTTAAATCTTTTTTATTTTTTATTTTATTTCATGAAGTGGCTCTTTCAATACACTCTCATTCTTCCCACTTTCAGCAGATACATACTTTATGCTGAAAGGGGGAGAAAAGGAAGAAGCATTTCTGAAGCACCTACTGTGTGCCAGGTACTGTGCTAAGTACTTTACAAATAATGTCACATTTGATCCTAACAACAGCCCTTCAAGGTAGGTGCTGCTGTCACCCCCATTTTAGAATTAAGGAAACTGGCAGACAAGTTAAGTGACTTGCCTAGGTTCACACAGCTAGGAAGTGTCTAAGGCTGGATTTGAAATCTGGTCTTCCAGCTCTCATCTACTGTGCCAGCAGCTTCCCTATAGGAATTCTCTTAGCTTCCTTCTTTTGTAATTCAGAATCTCTTATCTTCCCACCTCATAGGATTGCTAGGGTTAACCTCACCACTTATTTTTTGGATCACATCTTCTCTTGCTTTTGGGTATATTGTTCCCTTTGTTTTCATTCATGTCTACCACCTTCTTCCCCTTCTGTATTCAAATATTCTCAAATCTTCCTTATTCTGGAAGACTCTTTTATCTTGATCCTTTTACACTTTCAAGCCAGATTATCTCTTTTCTCCCAGCTTGCAACGGCTCCTTCCCAATTCCCTTGTGTTTATTTTATCTACCTATGTCTCTACACATAGAAACACATGGTTTGTACATAGATGTACATATTATGTATATGTGCGCGCGTGCACACACACACACACACACACACACACATACACACACATATTGTGTTCTCTGGCTTGAACATAAGCCCCTTGA